GTTCTCCTAACATATACGTCTGAGCATGCAGCAATGCAGGGTTTGGTCAATGCATCCTTTTAGGGATCGCAAAGCTGGGTGGTTGTGCAATGAGTTGTGCGGCAACTGGAGGAAGCTCGGTTGGTAGTGTAGGGTTCGCTAATCATATTAATCATCTTAAGTATAATGACTCCTAACCACTCCTAAATGGTTAAACAAACAGGTGTCCGCAGCGTCCCTTTCTGTAGGATTTAGGGTTCAACTACCCGTTCTCTTAAACTAGCATGGAACGCCATATGCAAGGTAGTCGAACGGATGTGGACCGTCAAACAGGTTGCTTCCACACGTCACCATGTCAGAGTACATACACAGGCTTGTTGTTGATAGACTATGTGATGTTAATGAGTCAAAACGCATTGGTAAGTGTCAGAAGCTCAAGCGGCATGTTACTTCCATTTAAAGGTCAGAAAACTAAGCAGACTTGAGCGGCGCGTTGTCTAATAAGTATTATTCCAGTTGAGAGTAGTCAATTCACTAGGTAAAAATATTTTGGTGAAATTGATAACTGTTCTCAGTTACATCCGGAAGCTGAAATGTGCGGCTTACGCAGCCTCCCGGGTGTCCAAGGCATCTGTGACATGTAAGACTGTCGAAAGCTGTAAGTCCGCTGGGAAATTCCAAGAGACGCCAAAGACCGCCAGAACGATCATCACGTGTTGCGCTCGCGTAGGCACTTACATATGTGTGCTTGTGATCGCCCAACCCCCAGATAGCACCTGGCCCTTGTACAGCACTAGAACACAGCCAGGAAACGGTGCTAAGCAAAGAAGGATGTCACTCATGATGCCCTTGCCTTTTTGTTCGCAGAAATTCCGTTCCGAATTAATTCGTTCAATCCGAAAGTTGTGCAGGACCTTAATTCCCCATTCCGCAGGGATTCCCTGAACCTCCTAGGACCCGCTGCATTCCGCTTACATGGGGGTCCTCAAATATATGGTGTTGTTTAGATGCTCTTGCCACGAATGAGTGGATTCTTCGGGTGGCATGCGCAGTTGGGAAGTTGCGAGGCGTTGAACCTGTGAAAGACTTTTGTAGCGATTGTTCAGACATGAACAAGGGTGAAACAGGGGGCATCAGGAAACCGTGTTTCGCAGGACCCATCTGTCCATGGCCTCCATGTATATAAGTAGACGATTTTGTGTTCAGGGTTCGTAGAATTTCCGCCAACACGACGCAGAGATAAATGAAGCTACTGGGATCAGCTCGGGAGCATGCAATCAAGGTGGCGGATGATAGATGGCCTGTAGCAGGATTGTACATAATTTTGCATTCCTTTTGAAAGATGGGCCCCCTCTAACCATATAGCCTCCAACAAAAAATTCGGGAATGGACCTTCAAGAATGTTTCCCCACGGCACTGACGGTCTTGGGGATGAATTTGAAGGGGATGACCTGGACTCTGTTAATTAAAAGAGTCTGCAAGCAATGGGCTGGAATGCTTTAAGCTGCCACCGCAATACATTCTGCAGAGTCTTTTGTTTAATCCAATCTGTTCGGAGTTGCACTTGCGAGTGTCGCCCGCGTGGGACACGACGGTGACGTTTCGCCAGCTGGTGTTGCCACATTGTGAAAGTCCGATCATGTACTCACACAGTTGGTAATAAAGGTTGTCACTATTGGATTCCCATAGAACAGACATTAACATGAAATCGCCTAAGTCCATAAGAAAGCAAAACCCGCACCTTTTTTTCGATTTGTTTCTGACCCACGATCTCCTAGAAAGCTGTAGAATTGTGGAGAGCCTGCATGTATTCGCCAACAGGCTGTCAGCAAGTAAAATGCTTAAGCGAGTGTAGGGGCAGGCAAAGTCTTAATGTCAGCCGCTCCTGATCAAATCTCCTTGTTGCTGTGTCAATGCACAAGTGGTGGGCGTCACAGGTTTGACATTCTCAGGATTACCGCCTGGAAGACCAGAGCAAGGGTAGTGTGCACCATGACATTGGGCCTCACCAAAGGTTTTGACTGACTTGTCTTGCGCCGTGTGTCAACTGCAAGACGAGGAGCGGGCTGAAGTCGGATTTCCTATTGATGATTGTAAGACGTCAGCGATATGGCGAAGTCAGACCGGGTTATCATTTCGATTCGAGTTTTGGCATGCTCGGCTTTGCTCCGCAGGATGCATTTTTGGTTCAGGAGCACAGCCAGACGCCGCTGCAGAAGTGTGTTGGCATCAGATGAACAAGTGCTGCTAGATCAAAGTAGATACCTTCAACACGATTGGGGGTTGCGTGCAAGACTTCCGTTGTCGGTTGTATGTTTTTGCGAGTAAAGCATGGGATGGGTACTAAAGATCATGAAATGTTTTTATCAGGACAGCAAAAGCAAAATACGTTTCCCAACCATAGCACCAGGAAAAACAACAGTCTATTTCGACTTCAGTTTTTACTAGTAGTTCAACACAATATTCAGATCCGTCGGAAGTTTCACAGTCATGCTGCGTGCACTTGAAGGAGCGCGGCCCCCACCTTGCAAGAGTGGGACAAAGGCATTAAGCGTGTGCAATTCTAGGTAACGCGCGAAACAAACCCATGGGTGTCTACTTGCCCAAACCCTGCATTTATGATATATGCGTGTTCCAGCTTGCAATAAAACCTCATGCCGAGTGCCTGACAAGGAGTTCTTGTCAAGACCTACAGAGAGACACGCGAAACGAACTCCTAAGTGTTGACAGTGTTGATCTGATCTTCGAAGGCTGCTGCCGCAATGGCAAACAATGCAGAACTTTTCATGGTGATGCGCCTTGGATGTACAGGTACGAGTGCTTGGTATAATTTTTGGGTAAAGTTTCAAGCGCCAGAAGCAGAGTGATATGAAGCACATGTAAAATCAGATGATCTGAATGTGGGTTCGCAGCCTAACTTTGCATCAGCTGGTCACAGGCGCACGTATTCCTTCCCTCACAATTTGATTGCTCGAAAAGTCTCGGTTGCTGGCTACGCAATGCCCTGCGATTGCACAGGAACCGTCACAACCCACAAGACTTTTGTGCAATGTCTGCCCTACACCAAATTCTTGTGCAGGCGCTGGGTTCGCGGTTGTGCCAAAGACATGCAAAAGTGAACGCACAGCGTTGGTGCAAGGGTTTCTGGCATGGGGCTGGAAAGAGTTCATCGTCGTGGAGGAGCAACTTCTCGAGCTACGGATGATGTTCCGCCCTTGAGTTTTGCTTCTACCACATTGGACAGTCTTACAATCCCAACCCCTCCCAGCATGACCCGCTTACAGGCAGACATGCTTCACGCGTCTGAGCAAATAACAACTGGTTCTCCCGACCTCAGACCAGACCGTGGATTATGTAGAGGTGGTCATGGAATGGCTTTGTTCTGGCTTGGAGTTCTTGTCAGCTCCCTTTTCGCAAGAACAAGACCTCCTAACCTTACATCTCACAAATTCCTACCGAAGTGTCGGACTAGTGACTAGTGCTTTCCAAAGGATACAGGGCGGGGATTCATGTGTGTGTATGAATATATGTATATGCATATACGAGCTCCTCAACCAGTTGTAGGGCACAGGGTTGATTGCAGTAGGGTTTCGGATTTGAGGTTGGAAACGCAAACTTTGTTGGGTTTAGGTGCTCTGCTCAGCCTAGCTGATGAAGAAGAGGCCCAAGCTGTAGTCAAAATGTGGACTGGCAGATAGCGTCTTATGGTCAGGATGTTTGACAACCACAGTGTTTCGGAATGATTGTAGGTAGCCTTACTAGTCCCCTCCCCTCCCCCAAAAATGATCCACACCCCCGCCCCTGATTTAACAGTCCCTCTAGATTTGAATATACCACAATGGAAACATTTAATGATATAGTCCCCCTTAAGTAGATAGAATATGGCTTTGTCTATATTATAATAAGATCCCCATATATCCCACATTCTATCTACTTGAGGGGGACGATAGGGCAAAGCTAAGATCTTAAGTACCCGTACTGCACAGGGGATATTAGGCCAAACCCCATTCTCATCGAGCATAGAAATCTAAATTTATAGTATATAGATATTTGGGACCCTGAGCCATCACCCCTATATAGCCCCCATGATACAGACTATATATCCCCTACGAAACCGTGGTGCTTTATCATGCGTAGATACTTAGGAATACTTTGCGTTAGGTGGAAGGGATCAGGTTTAGGGTTTAGGGCTCTGGGGTTAGGATTAGGACTCAGGGTTTAGGGCTCAGGGTTTAGGGCCCAGGATTTAGGGTTTAGGGTTTAGGGTCTGAGTACCCCTATCCCGCAGGAGTTTGGCGGAGCCTAGTCTGAGTGCGCACATCTAGAATCCTTATGTGCAAAAAAATACAATCCCTATGAGAACCCTAAACCTGGTTAGAAGGATCCCCCAAAAGGTGTCCGCAATCTGATGTCCTTGTCTGAGGGTGAAGTCAGACAGCAAGCACATGACAGAGTCGCAGAAGCAGCTCTTCAAGAAGCATGGCATCTTGACGTGAGTTGGGGTTTAGGGTTTGGGGGGGCAAAATTACTTCAAGGCTTCGGGAGGTAGGGACAAGGTTGTAGGGTTTAGGGCTGAGGGTAACATGTTTAGGGCTGAGGTCAGGGTGTAGGGCATTGAGTTGAGGATTCATGGTGTAGCGTTTTGGTGTTAGGGTTCAGGTTTAGGGTTTAGGATTCATGGTTGAGGGTTTA